GCCTCTAATGAACCAGTGTTGGATGCCCCTAAGCATAACCTCCCCCACTGGCCCCTTGTGGACATGTGCTAGAATAATTCTCTCAAAAAGCTTACCCAGGATCGAGCTAAGACTAACTGTCCTATAGTTTCCCGGGTCCTCCTTCCTCCCTTTTTTGAAGATGGGAACCATGTTGGCCCTCTTCCAGTCCTCTGGCACCACACCAGATCACCACGAGTGCTCGTAAGTGCTCTGGCACCACACCAGAGCACCACGAGTACTCCACTCGCACTAGGCATATGAGGCTGTCTATCTGGATGACGTGGTAATATTTAGCAACACATGGGTAGACCACCTCCAATAAGTGAAAGAAGTGTTGCAGTTCATACAAGAAGCTGGTCTCATGGCTAACCCAATTAAATGTCACCTGGGGTACATGGGGACTAGATACCTGAGATATATTCTGGGCAATGGTAAAATCAGGCCCCTAGTCAACTAAGTAAAGCCCTTGGTGGAAGCACTAATACCAACAACCAAAAAGTAAGTGAAGCCATTTCTGGACTTGGCAAGCTACTATTGGCGATTCATCCTACAACAGTGGTCACCAACCAGTCTATCTCGATTGACTGGTCAATTGTGGAGCCTTTGACAGTCGATTTCAGTCTGTCAGAGGCTCCACAGTTGGGAGCACCAGGACGTATGTGGCTGGGCTTAGCCACACCCCCTGCTGCCTGGGCCAGGCTGGGTGAGTGGGGTCAGAGCCCACGTGGCTTCTCCGGGAGGCAGGGCGGGGCCAGGGGGAAGGCAGGGCAGGGGCGGTGGATCCTGGGGTGCTCCTTACTTTAAAAAAAAAAGTGATTTTCACCATAAAAAGGTGGGAGACCACTGTCCTACAATTTGCAGCCATCACAGCCCCAGTGACTGGCCTGCTGTGGAAGGGAGCACTGAAAAGGATTCAGTGATTACCCAAATGTGAGACAGTGTTTGGGACAGCAAAACAGCTGCTATGCAGTACACCAGTCCTTAACATAAATATTCATATTGCAGACAGATGCCTCAGAGTAAGGCCTGGGGATGGTGCTCTCCTGAAAAATTGAGGATGGAGAGCACTCCATTCTGCATCTCAGCACAAAACTGCTTCCCTGGGAGCAGAAGTATACTGGCATAGAAAAGGAGCACCTAGCAATTAAATGGGTGGCTGAAGCCCTCTGCTACTATCTCCCAGAGATCCAGTTTTGTTGGGTCATTGACCATGCCCCTTTAACATTGCTTAATGCAGTGCAGGAGGCCACCCTCTGGTTGACAAAGTGGTACCTATCCCTGAAGTCTTTTGATTTTATGACACATCACAGCCCTGTGTCGGCACACCCAAATACAAACTTCTTCTTCCAAGAGACGGTGGGGATTGAAGAAAGGGAAGAGTGTATCCTGGGTTCAACTCTTGGAAGGGAGGATGTGTAGCTGGGTACATAGCTCAGGGGTGGGAGTCCAGCTGCCGGGGGGCATAGCCTGTCCGGTCAGGGGCATGGGACCAGCTGACAGGGATGACTGCCTGACCACAGAGGAAGTTAAAAGCTCCTAGGGAGGGGAGTTAAGGAGGGAAGGCTGTGGTGCTGAGGGGACAGCATAAAGCTGGGGTTGCCCTCTCCAGGTCCAAGAAAGGACCGCAAGTTTTGGATTGATCCTTTGTTTCTTTGTTAATCATGTTTGTTTGTTTTTATTACTGATGTTGTGGGGACAAGTTTGGCCCAGGGAAAATAAAAGCTCAGGGACAATCTCCTACACCCTCATTCTGGAATGAGCATGTCCACCCATGCAGTTATTTAAGAACTACCACTCCTGAACAGTTATTTTTAAATAACTCCATGTGTAGATGCCTTCAATACCAAGGGTCATATTCTGCTCCCAGTTCCACCAGTGTCAAATTCAGAGCCACTCCACTGAGTTAACCAGAGACTCTTCATTAACACTACCATAGCTGAGAGCTGATTTTGGTTCTGAGTTTCAATGCTGACTGAGAAAAGGCAATTTACACTGACGACTCAAAGTGCGTGGACTAAGAACCAGAATATCAACCAGGAGAGGGCAAAGCCAGAGTTTTCCAGATCATTTCTGAGAGACTTGGGTCTCCCACAGCCGCCGGGGCCACATGGTGCCTGCTGCTGCCACTGAATGTAGTTGTTTGGAGGTGACTTACCAACTGCAGCCCAGCTATAGAGAAACACACAGTGGAGCAGTAAGGTAAAATGTCTCCCCCTTTTCAGGCCTATCCATAGTGTATCCTTCCTGAAATGTGAACTAGGACCCTACACAGGAATTACAAGGAGCCATTGTTCACCGATGGAGCAGCATCAGCTTGGTGGGTTCCCAAATGAGCCAGATGTGCTTAGCCAACAGGGTCTGTAGCACTGCCAGGTATCTGTCACAGTTCAGCACTGCCTATAGCTCTCTTGCTCAGTCATAGTTACCTCCACCGCAACTCCAGCACATGCAAGGAAGTGAGAGAGCAGGAGCCAAATGAGGCAGGGATGAGAAGCTCAAGTTACCTGAGCTAAGCTCCTACCTGCTTCATTTCAGATGACTGAGCCTCATGGAGCTATCACACTGGCATCCACTGGAGCAGTAAGTAGGGATGGGCAAAGTCAATATCACTACATCAGTGGTGCCCTGCATCACCAGGCACAGAAACAGGAACTGGCACAACTTGCTGACCAAAAAGAGACATGGATTTGCAAATGGCCTCCAGAGTCCTGCTCCATAGGCTGGCAAGGTAAGCAATGGCATTGTACTGGTGGGAAGTGGGAGAGAGAAAGGAAGGATATGGCCAAGCTCTTGTTATCCTAAGCATGCCCTTGAGCAATACACAAGGTGGAACCCAACGCAGGACACTGTTACTAGAGAGAAAGGAGGACATAGCATTTGAGTGGTACAAAGTGATTTGGGGACCCAACACACAAAGTCCACAAGAGTCTTTCAGTGGATCTGGGAATGGATACTCAATGATTACATCAGCACTTTACAGACAGACATTTGCCCAAGTTGTGATCCCTTTCCTCTGCCTCTGTGGACAGCAGGAGCAGTCAAATCCATGCCTTGAACTGGGAATGGGTTCACAGGGGATATCCCCAAAGTTAACCTCCCCCCAGCATGTCACAGCAGAAAGACAATAACGTTTCAACACTGTCAAATAAAACTTTGTCATTGAACCCACAATGAACTCACTCACTGCAACCAAACATATAACGCACTCTGCAATAGATATCTACACTTCCAAGATAAATAATTTAAATTAATGTTAATTTTAAATTAACGAGCACCAAGCTACAATGCAGCCTGCTCAAGAAAGAGTTTTCTGCTCTGACCCATGAGGTCTGAGCCCCTTTAGTTCAGTGGAAGAACTGACCTGCCCTCCCCAGTTGACAGGGTGACCTAGAATTCGGCAGCGTGCATCACTGAGCCCCAGTTCAGGATCAAATGTTGACCAAGAGAACCATTCCAGTAAACTGTCCACATCCCAATCAGCCTCTTTGTTGGCAATCTTGGCAGGGAGGGCAAGGATTGCACAAGTTACGGAGACCGGCCTCCCCTCAAAGCCTGCAGGGCAGCGCTAAGGCACATTGGGTAGGAGCAGGAGGGCAGGGACATCCAGTTCTGCTGCACATGCGGAGCTGGCTCTGAAGCTCAACCAAGAACTCTGACCTCCAGGGCCATTAATCTGGTTCTTCTCACCTGCAATATACGCACTTGAGACACAAACTGGAACAGCTGGATCACAAGTTAAAAAACAGAAAAATGCAGTATTTCCCCAAACTTCATACAGTCCAAGTTGTGGAGCAGAAGGCTCCACCCATCCTGGCCTCAGAGCAGAGCTACACCAGGTGCTAGCTCCTTGAAAAGCCCACAGTTCTTCCTCCAAACAAAGTGCTTGTGTATCCATCTGAAAGCTCTCTGGTTTAGGGTCTTACCAGCCATCATCCTATATGACAGGATGAAAACTCCTACTCTTCAGCTTACTTCTGTCATTTGAAAATGATGTGATGCTTTCCAATCCTCTGGTTAACCACACTCTCCACAACCTTTTAATTTAACCCTTTTTCAATGAGCACTTTTCACTAGCTCTCCTGCAGTGGAGAGACGAATAATGGACCCCAACATTTACCCAAAGATTTTCTCTTGGGTAACAGAACCACCCATAGCAAGTAAATGCTGGAATGGACACACACACCCACATGCTCCCAGTCCATGGACAGGGATTTCCAATTCCCCAAACCCAGGAAGTTCTGCTCCAATTCAGTGTTTTGGTATCAATATTCACCACAAAATACTGTAAGGCATCCTCCCTTCTCAAAATAAAATTCACAATCAGTGCCATTTCAGGCTTCCCAAAGCCAGCCCCCAGACTGGGGTCAGGAAGCAAACTGGCACCCCTTTGCCTCATTCATACTCAAAAAGCAAACCAATCTGGTGAGAAGTTTAAAGTCCTTCATTCAAGCCCATCCTGCTCCAAGGGAAATGCTGTAGGTGGTTAAATTAAAGAGCATGGTAGAACAGCTAAAGTTCTCTGTGAAGAGCAGGAGGCCAAAGTAGTCAGTGTAGCAGCAAGCCATGGGAATGGTCTGTCCCATAGGAAGTGCCTCATTGTGCCATGCTGAAGGCCTAAAAGTCAGTGCTGGACTGGCCCCAACATGATTAATCCATTCCATGACATTGAAGACTTCAGAGGCCTCTACTTCAAAAGTCTTGACACAATGTAGGTAAGAGTATCATTGCCCAAGGCAAGGAGGACTCAATAGCCCCAGGGACCAGCCCTTCCCCCTCTGCCCACCTTCTCCAGGGCCATCATTATCCCCAGCTACCAACACTGCCAAGAGCAAGGAGCATATCTGAGGCCAATATGCAAGAGCCAAAGGCTATGGTGGTGTCTCCAAGCCAATGGGTGTCAGGAGGCTCTCAGTGACAGGCAGCCATGGCAGACTCTAAACTGCCCAGACAATTTGCAGGTAATTCCAGTCCATGGCCCCATCAGAAGTAAGTGAGGTTCTTGACAACTCTCAATTCAAGCATCTTCTTTATAGCTAATGCCTCATGAGAGACATTGTGCTCCGAAGCCTGTGAAATACAAAAAAGAAGACTGGTTTTCCATGCACCATAGTGAGAAGCATCCTTATAGAAACCTAGGTAGGTATGAAGGGCTGTGCGCCTGTTTCAGACTTTCCACTCATCTCAATTGTACTCTCATCATTCATGGCACTCTGTTTTATTGAAGCTTTTAAAACTTTTTAAATTGTTTTAAGACATTTTAAAAAGAGTTTCCTACTAAGTACATACAATTGCAATAGTATTCAGGGAATCTGGAGAATAAGCCACTACACTACACTGACCCCATTGGCAAAATAAATGAAAAAACCTGTGACTAAGGATCTGGGACACCAAGTTGATGCAAAAGGAAGATTATTGATATTGTTATTAGATCAACAGCGAAAACAAGCAAGTGACTCTCCATTGAGAAGTCTGTTGTTTAAATCAGCAGCTGAAATGATCAACTTGATCTCTGGACTGGAGAAATCTTTGCCATGGTTCATGAGTTGGTAAAAGCATGGTAGTTTACCTGGAGCAATCCACTCTGCTGACAAGTATTAGTTCTGCTATGAAAGGGTTAAGCAGTAGGGCTGTGCAAAGCTTCAGATCATGATTCGGATTTGGAGACGATTCAGAGGCTGAATCTACGAATCCAAATCAAATCACTTAGGCTTTCCAAATCGATTCGGAGCTTCTGAATTGACTCAGAAAAGCTTTAGAGATTCGGCCATAGGGTACAATGGGGAATCAATGAAATATCTATAACTTTGTTGTCTTTTGGTTGATTCAGATGAAACCTGCAGGTATGGTAGCTTCTGTTGAGAGCATGACATGCCACACTTTGAGGAGATAGGTGCAGGGGTTTCTGGGAAATTCCACCTCAAAGTCCTGAAAATGTCACACGTGTGTGTTAAGCCACAGTGGGGTCAAAACTGCAGGCATGCTAGCCCTGCTGTGGCCACAAAGCCTGCCAAGTTTCAAGGAAATAGGTGCAGGGGTTTGGGGGAAACTGCACCTCAAGCTGCGGACAAGCAAAATTTGTGACATGGGTGACACTGTGTGTGTTAAGGCACAGCAGGGTGAAAGCCACAGGCCTGATAGCCCCTGCTGAGGCCACGAAGCCTACCAGCTGTCAAGGAAATAGGTGCAGGGGCTTCTGGGTTCTGGGGCCCTGCACCTCTAGCTGCTGACAGGCAAAACTCGTGACACGGATGCTTATGCAACTGTGTCTGTCTCGGAGCACTGGGGGGGGCAGGGGCACAACGATGGACTACTGTAGGCCTGGCTGCTAAGCTACTGTGTTACCAATCAATCATGATTCACTCAGGGACCAGCTCAATACACAGTAGCTAGCTACTAGATAACGAGTTAATGAGCAAGGATTAACACCTACAAAACCACAGACTAAGGAGAAGAAAGAATCAATACAGAGCCAGGAACTGCTTCTGCCCCAAGACAGAGACAGTCAGTTGCACAAGCACTCATGTCAAGAGTTTTGCCCATCAGCAGCTAGGGGTGCAGGGCCCCAGAACCCCTCTGCACCTATTTCCTTAACAGCTGGCAGGTGTCGTGGCCTCAGCAGGGGCTAGCATGCCTGCAGCTTTCACCCTGCTATGCCTTAACACACACGGTATCACCCATGTCACGAGTTTTGCTTGTCCGCAGCTTGAGGTACAGTTCCCCTGAACCTATCTCCCTGAAGCTTGGGAGGCTTTGGGGCCACAGCAGGGGCTAGCACCCCTGTAGTTTTCACCCCACTGTGGCTTACACACACGTGTGACATGAGTTTTGCTTTCAAGAATTTGGGGTGCAGTTTCCACCAAACCCCTTCACCTATCTCCTTGAAGTTTGGCATGTGTCATGCTCTCAGCAGGGGCTACCATCCCAGCAAGTTTCACCCAAATCAGCCAAAAGACAACAAAGTTATAGATATTTCATTGATTCCCCATTACACTCTATGGCCAAATCTCCGAATTGGCTCTGAATCTTCCAAAGCGATTCAGCCGAATCGAAATTGGAAAAACAATTCAGATCTCTGAATCAAATCCCTGGCATCCAAATCAGCCGAATACAAATTGAATAGTTCCCTACTCGCACAGGCCTATTAAGCAGGTTTTGTGGGCTCCCCAGTGTTGGGGATTCATATCTAGGTGGAACAGTTGAAGCAGCTCTCTGAAAACAAAAGCTTCATTGGTGGAGGCTGAAAAGGAGAAGCCCTAGGAACAACCCAGCCCAGCACAGGCAGAAGGTGCCGTTCATCTAGCCTGCAGGGCAAAAAGGATAAGAACCCCTTGCTGTACTCAAAACCAAAAGGCAAGAGGTGAGTTTGGACCCTACGCAGCATCTACACTGTACTTGCAAAAGGATCACACAGGCTTTTTTCAAATTTGTTTTCATAATTTGCAGGTTACTGTAATATGCAGCAGCTCTGGAGTCACTTATTTTGATAGCATAGACAAGCCTGTGACACAGCAGAAGTCTCCATTAACAGCACAATGCAGACATTCTGGCTGGCTGGCTCCATTTGGCAAGTTTGCCTTGATGACATTGCGTCTCTGGGGTAGGAACCATCCTTCCTTACTTGCACTGCATGAGTTCATTCATACCCATAACCACCTTGTGCTATGCAAACAGGGAAGGAAAAGATGGCTCCTGCTCCAAAAGCTTAGGAGGTATTTCCTGTCTTACGGTGCCAGACGTATGGAGGCCCTGATGCCACACTACTGTTCATAGTTATTACTGTAAATACAAATGATGGTAAGGGGAAATTCTTCATATACTAGGTATTCCCAGTAGTTGCATGGAGAATGCTCCCAAATTTCAAGGCTATGCCTATGGCAATGAAACAATGTTCATGGACAACCACTGTATTGCATACCACTGCTCATGAATGTGTCAAAGCTAGTCAGAAATAGGATTGCGTGACTTCCCAGTGGTAACAAACATAGGGAGGTAAAATGTCTCAAGCTATTACATAGGTGAAAATGTATCCATGGTTACGGCCAATGAGCTGTTAGCAATAACGTTTTCCCCAGTGCTCTCTGTGAAGTCCAAAGATCCTCAGAGAGATGGTGCTACACAACTAAGTAACAAGAGCAGCCCAGCACAGGTGGAAGGTAGTTCAGCAGCAGGAAGCAAAGGAGGATACAGGTAGTTACTTACAGCCATGGACTTTAATGTGATTTGCTCATAATAGTGTATGGTCTGTTTCTTATTGCCAGAATCAGGGTAGCCGAAGCCTGCAATATGTACTACGTCACAGAAGTGCAATGCCAAGGTGATAGCTAACAATCCCGTCGTTGGTTTCTGAGAGAGAGATAGAGACACAAACAACATGACTCAATGATAAACATACATGCTGTGCTGTTTGGTGTAGTTTTCTCTCTCCTCCTCCCCCCAGCAACAGGTCCTGTGTGTAACATAGTGGCTGGCTCCAAGGACTCTCAATCTGTCACTAGGTTACTCCAAATAGTTTGGGCTTGGGATGCTGACATTACAAGATCCCAGGCCCACTGATACCAGGCTACTTTATGGTGCAGCAACACAATTCATCACACACACACCACTTAGGATGGCTGCTTCCCCAGTAGGAAGCGTCACATCTAGTAATGGGGTTGCCACCATTCCAGAACAGGGCTTTAAATGTTGTCTTGCAGCTTTCATCACTAGGCCCATGGAGCATACAACATTTTTGACTGCACAAGGAGGGGAAATGCTATGTCACAAATTGCAAGATGCAGATGAATTTTCCAAAGAGCTCAGTGAGAAGTTTTTCAGATAGGAGAATCTCCCCTGGTTGTCTGCCAGGTCCCCATGCAGACCAAGGCATTGAGAAAGTACAGATTAAGCACAGCTCTATGAACTTTATTGCTCATACCTGCACAGCTTAAACTGCTCTAGAAACTTTAAGAAGTTACTTGGACCCTTGCCTATAAAACTGCCATGTTCAGGATACTTTTCTCAGCTCAATGTAGTTTTTAAAAGACATGAGCCTTGGTAGAGAGACTAGAGAAAATGCATTCATGCACTCTGAATTTAGTACGACTGTCAACCAATAACAACCAATTAAAAGATCTGCCCCTCTGCTCGCTGCTTATCTCAGCCTTCAATTCCAGCACCACTTATTTGCTGAGAGCAGCAAAGCTGTATGAAAAAAAATCTTATGGAAGCAATGAAATGGTGCTGACAGAAATGTTTGGGTCATGTCCCCCTCTGGAGGCTCATGCATGATTAATTTCCCTGCACTACTATCACCTACCACAGTGGGGGTCAAGGTTTTTAACAAATGTGTCACAAATTAGCCCCAACACTCTGATCCCCTTCCCCTGCCCAGTTTGCTGCTCTGCTTCCTGCTCTCTGTCAGCTCTGTTGCTCTTCTTTCTGCTTTACTCTCTGTGCTCCCTCCCTGATCTTCTGCTTTGCTTTCTGCTCCCTGCCCCATCTGCCACTGTGCTACCTGTCCTCTCCTCAATCTGGTGCATGCCATATGCACATGCTGCTTGGGCCACTTGTGGCATTCATGCTACAGACTGGCCACCCCTGCCCTAGCATTTTTATATTCAAAGCACTGTGTGAATGTAAACTAACAGAGGTCAAGGCAAATTACTGGCCTTTCCCATCCTAAGTCAGCAAGGACAGCAGCTTTGGAAGCTATATTTAAACAGCTTACAGCTTGGCCAACAAGTCAAAAAGGGGAACAACAGGGCCAGGAAAGACACTAAGTCCCTTTTAGCAAGTTTTGTGTGTGAACACCTTGGGGTTTAAAATCTGAGCACAGCCAGTCTCCCTCATTCTCCTTCACCCGGCTATACTGGCTCCCTTACCTGCTTAACCTTCCGCAGTTGCTTCATTGGAAGATTAAGCAATTTAGCAGCAGTTATTTCCATAAAATAAGGGTTCAGAATTCGCACTTGCTCTGGATTCGCATCCCAGATTAGAGGAGGCTGTTTCCAAAACCCCTTCCGTACCTGAAAAATGAAAACAGGAAGGTTAGTCCCATTCTTTACACAGGAGTCCCAGGGCCTGAGCCTGGGAGGGTTAGCTGCAGTAGCCAAATGAAGCAGGTAAGATACCCAGCCTGGCCTTGTGACATCACCCACCCTCCTTATGGTACTCACGCGCTTCTTGTCATTGAGGATGGACTCCATCCAATGGAAATCCATGGGTTTAAATGGCACCAAGACGAGAAGGGTATCTGGGTTGTTCTCCCTTTTGGGGTTGAAGTGTGCAGATTCTGGATAAAACAAGCGCATGGTAGTCTTGGAGCCAACATCCTGCTCGTACCCAAAAACTGGTGCATTGTTCAACCTTTTGGAGAGAGAGAAGACATGTGAGGCATCTCCCACTGCTTGAAGACCTGGCCCCTTGGCATCCTGCAAGCATTCCTAGGAAAGACCACTTTGGGGGCTCTAGTCGCATGTTCACTGTACTTTGACATGATGAATTTGTTTGGTTAGAGGACTTGGTCCAGTCTCAGGGTGTGAGACAGCATCCTCCTTGAGTGAACTCCCACATGAACAGAGGGTCACCACATACTTGCCCACCTGTCTGGCTCTGGGTGCAAGGTGCTCTTCTTTGATTTGCCTTACATAACATAACAACGGGCATCTAATATGCATATTGAAAGATTTCAAAATAAACCCTCCCCTGTCCACCCTTCTCCCCCCAGGAGATGGGATGAGAGCTTGCATACGTGAGAGGTGTTGTTACATGCACTACTACAGCAGTAAGTGTGGTTTAAGAACCTATACAGACAGAACAGTATGGAGGGCAACTGGCACTAATCAACAAAACACAAAAGGGATCAGGTCTTCAGGTGAGGCTAACCTGTGTAGTGCCATTAAAATCAGACAGTGACCATTTACATTGGCCCATGAGCTCTGGACACTGCTTTGCTCTCTGGCCTTGGCAGTGCCAAACTTCCAAAAGCCCCACCCCAAAACGTCAGTTTTTGTTTTCACCGTCCAGGCTGCATTTGCGTAGAGAGTCACAGATTTGAATTTCTGGAATAGGGAAGTCTGAAGTCCCTGGGGTTTGACCGAAGCCTGGGGAAGTGGACAGGAAAGCTCTTACGGATGTCAGCATGCTTTGGTTAGGTTCTTGGCCCCCGGCAAACGTGGAGAAATGTCCATCGTTCAGCAACATGCCTCAACGATCCAAGAGGCCCTTGGCCAAGTCCAGGTGAAGAGCCAGAGGAGTCTCACTACTACTCAAGTATTTCTGAGGTGGGACTTTATGCTAGAGGAAGGTTTCAGACCTCTCTGGTCTGAAACAAACCCATTAATTTTCCACCCATGTTTCATTTCATAGTTACCCTTGCTGTATCTTCAAACACTGTCCGGATGCTTCCTCTAGCCTGGTGGCAGGGGATAGGGTCCTCTTTCTACTGGCTCCAGCGATGGAATGTGAAGGGCCTGATTTTAATAAAAGCTCAGCACCTCCAGCCCCCACGGACCCTAACCAGAGCCCTAAGTGCGCAACACTTCTGAAAATAAGGCCAGGAGTTTTTGCAGGGTTGCATCATCTTGGTTACTCACCACAGGGCAAAGCCACAAGCCCAGAAAAATGACTTCACTGGGCAGAGGAGACACTAAATAGAGCTGTAATGATGGGATCATAAGAAATTAATGACCAAGGCACTGAATGTCACTATTTCCCCCTGTAATGTCCTGCAGTTGGAACAGCAGCATCATGACTAGTCCTGCTTTTGCGTTCTGCCTCTGCTACTGTCTGCAGGCAACTTGAAAGAAAAGGAACAGACACAACGTTCCCCATAAGCTCAGTTCTGGTCTCTCAACAGTACATCGTTTTCTTCCTTCCCATGAATGTATCACTGGTTCCTGGAGTTTTTTCTCTGTCTGTGTGGAGACCTCTGGGAAGTGCAGGATGTAGGGAAGATGAAGGCTTATTGTATGAAGGGCTACAAATGCTCACATACCTGATCACAACATCGTATTTATTAATTGCTTCCCCCATGGAGCTGTTCTTGAGCCGGTGTCCGTTCCCCACTACCACACACCTCCGGCACTTCATGCTATGGAAAGGAAATTCATTTTGAACCACCGGCATTCTCAAGGCAATTATCCTTCCCCTTTATATTTACCGGAATAGTTCTTTATAAGTTGTTAGAATAGAATAAAGCCTGAATCCCTTGGGTCCATACAGAGCTGTCCTGCTCGCTGCTGTAGATCCAAGTTCTGGGTGAAGTCCCATGGCTTGGCTATGCAGAGAGCAGGCTACATGGTCACAATCTGGGCCTTAGCAGCTCTGAATCTTTAAAGTACCATATTTTTACAAACTGGTTCAAGGGGAAATACAAGTTGAAAATTCCCATGACTATCAGGGAGCATTTATTAGGGGCATTTTTTCAAGGCAGATAGACACTGTCTCCAACCTCTGGAACTGAACAGAAGAAACTAATCCCTTTAATGCAGGCCACCAAATGGCAACAGCTACCAGTCACTACCACATTGGCTAGATTCAAACTGGGGACCCGGAGTGCAGGCACACATACAAGTCACTATGAGGGAAGTAGAGAGGGACTTTACCAGTGCTGTGATAACTGCCCATATGCACAGTCTTACCTCACAGTAAGTGAAGGCAAAACCACAGTAGCTTACCCTTCAATGAGGGGCCTAAGTTACTGTGGGTTAGCTTTCATATACTGGGGAGAAGGGGGGGATCCTAGTAGCAACTTATTGCAGAGCATTTGGTGTGCAGTAAACTCTGCCTCCTCCTACCTTGCAGTAGTTTGTTCATATGCCTTCCAGGGACAAAGGACCCTCCCTGCCTGCACATCAGGCTGTCTCCACTGCAGAGCCTGTGCTGCCAGGGCTATGCCGGCAGAGCCCTCTAGTGAAGGCACATTTGTAAAAGGAGGGTTTTTGCTAACTTACAGAGATGCTGAGTTAACAAAAGCCCTCTTCTGCCAGCACAGCAGCACCCGCACTAGAGGTTTTGCTGGCATAGCTGCTAGACAGGGGCACAATCTGCTCACACCACTAGCTGATATAAGTATGCCAGGAAAGATCTGTAGCATAGACCAGACCTCAGTAACCAAAATGTGGGAGGCAGGTATAAGGAGCCCCCTACTTGAGTCATCATTACAACCTGAACCTTGAACCGCCAACATTAAAAGCAAGTGCCTTTACTGTATGAGCTAAAGTAGCAAGTCCACTAAACCAGTGGTGTCCAACCTTTTGCAGGCATGCCACAAATTAGCCCTAAACTCTTCCTGAGTGTCACTCCAATCCCCTTTCCATGTCTGGTCTGCTGCTCTGCTTTTTTCTCCCTGCCCAATCTGCTGCTTTGCTTTCTGCTCCCTGCCCAATCTGCCAATGTGCTGTCTTTATCCTCTGCAATCAGCTGTGCCACACACAGGCTACCTGTGTCACAGGCTGGCCACCTCTGCAGTAGATGGCCAAATAGTAACCCTCTTATCCCGTTATAGGGAGCAGGCACTAGAGGAAGAACAGAGACCTGCTCGTAGGCTGGGTCCACCAGGAAAGACACTAGACTGAGGCCATTTGGCTTCTGTTCTCTGCTCGGCCATATCATCTGTGATCCTGATCATGCAGTCATCCATTAGGGCTGGAAGGGGTGTCCAGAGGCCATCTAATCCAGTGGCCTACCCAAGCCAGGTGCTACCACACAGGTGGGTACAATGTCTAAAAAGAGTCCTAAGACTCATGCAGGCAACTCTACAGAAGCACAGGGTCTTCATTCTTCCATATACCCTCCGTACCCTTTGGGCAATAACAGAAGCTGGCAGGAGAAAATCAAGTGTGCTGCTGGGCAAGAGCTCAGAGAAACCTGCCTGTACCAAATGCTGGGGTGGGGAAAGGGAGCTGCATGTCAACCCTGGCTGCAATCCAGACCAGTCAGTGAGTGAGGTCCACAGGTCAGCATGGAAGCTGACTAACTCAGCCAGCCTGATATTCTTCACATTTCAACACACTCAAGATGAATTCACATTCATGGTTGCCTTCAGATACCTGTGGAGCTCCCAGAGACAAATATCTAACCACCGTTTCTAGGGATCTCTTAAAAATAGATATGGGCTGGATTAGCCAAGAGGCAAAGGCCAAAGTACCATGAGGTGGGTGAGAAGTACTCTGTAAGCACTGTTATCATATCAGGAATGAGCCCCTGACCACTCAACTTGATAGCCTTCCCCAGATTATCCCTTGCCTGATGCCAGACTTGTCTTTTTGCTTCTGCCTAATGCACAGAAAGGGAAGAGAGCAGGCTCTGGCCCTACAGACATCTGCTGGTCACGGGAGTGCAGTAATGCCAGCTGTCACGAAACCATCGCAAGACTTTGGATTTCTAAATCAAAGTAACTCTGACTGGCAATCTCCCAATCGAATCATCAGATCTCTGGACTTTCCCAGTTAGTAAACCTGTGGAGGTGAAGGGAGAGCGGAGAGATAGAGGACCCCACGGTGAAGGAGGGAGTAGGGCAGGAGCAGGAGCAGGGGCTGGGGTGAATGGGGCCTTGGGGCTGGGGAGGGTTATCCAGAGGTGTGTGGAGGAGTGGGGAGTGGTGTGGCCCCCCCTCAGCTGTGTTCACTGGGCTGGGGCTCTGCGCCCTGCTGTCTTTGACCCAGCAGCAAGGCAACACCATTGCTGCCTGCCAGGTGGGTAGGGGACACGGGGTGTGCTGGCCACGCAGTGAGTTCCCTGCCTGCTCAGCGGCAGGAGGCACACTGGCATCGTGTGCCTGAGCTCTCGGGGCAAAGGAAGCAGGGCGCAGAGCCCCAGCCCACAGTGGGTAACCCGCCTCTGCCCCGCAGGGGGCACATGCCCCCCATGCCTCCCCCAGGGGTCTGCACAGCTGCGGGGGGCTGAATCCCCCCCCCAAGACTCTGGACAACCAGGCCCCACCCTGGGGCCCCATTCACCCCAGCCCCTGCTCCTGCCCCACTCCCTCCTTCACTGTGGGGGCCCTCAATGTCCCTCCACCCCTCCTCTGTCCTCCACCCGCCCCCCTCCACTTACCGGGTGCTGTCAGTGCCTCTGTGTGTCTGTCCCTCACTCCCAAGCCACAGCTCCCCCACCCTGCTGCTGCCTCTCACTCTTCCCCCACCCTACCCTGCATCCTGCCAGGGTGTGCGGGGATCCTCCCTCCCAGGGCTCCAAACCCCACACACACACCTTCACAAATAACACCCCCCCCAACACACACAGACTTCAAAAATAGTATTTCATAGTTTACATGCCAATGTCTTGATTTTTTAAGAGTTTGGCTTAAGATTTTTGGCACGGTGGAGTTGGCAATACTGGGTGTAACACTAGGACAAGTCTGGTTACATTTTCCAGGCCCTTAGTTTGTCAGATCTCCAGACCTCTCCCCAGCTGCCATTTGGACCCATGCTGTAGACAGGTGGGGCTGGAGCTGGTCCGGATTTGATCTAGGCTCTGCTCTTTACTCCAGCTACACTGGTCTTCACAGAAAACGAGACTGCTTGTTCTATACTTCTCATCCATGTCCTGCAACTCCTGTGCATGGTCAGGCAAGCAGAGACCTCAAGAATAGGCACAGCTCTTGGCAGTCACATGAGTCACATACCCACTGGCTATTACTCCAGGGTCATGGCTGACTGCCACTTCAGCTCGTTACCCTTAGCCAAAAACAACAGTTCATTTTGTCCCAAGTTGGAGTGCAGTGATCTACTTCATATTAATGCCAGCACACACCCCAAGCACTGGCAGGGGTTGCAATACCATGACGACATGTCCTGAAAGAGGTCCGAGACACCATCCCAATGCTGGGCTGGGCTATAGCAGAGCTCTGCAAGGGCCTGGACCTAGAATACCAGTGGGCTGACAGGAAGGTGTGCGTCTCCGATATACTTAGCTCTGCACAGCACCATTAAGTTCTTCTTACAACAAACAGGGAGGCCGGGCAATGTGTTCAGCCCAATCCAGAGGCATGACCACATCTGGCATAGGAACTAGCTCTACACTGGCCAGTACAGGTACTAATAATGGTGGAGTGGTTTACACTGCCCAATGAGAGCAGAGCTAGCTCAGGTGGCCCCCAAATTGCAGAGTAGATGTGCATGTGAGCCCATGCCAAGGAGGACAGCAAAGACCTGGCAGCAGGGAAGAGGCCTGGGGACAGGGAGCCATGATGATGCTTCACATTTCACACAAGAGAAAGGTAAGAAAAGAGGGGCAATCAGGACACAAGGATCAACAAGAGATCGACTGGAGGCACTGAGGTACATCCTACTACCTCCAGCACTGACCCCCCCACTACCCCGGCACTTAGGGTCTCTCACACAGGCACCTTGTAGAAATTCAGAATTAGTCTCCGGGCCCTTCTTTCTACCTCTGCATCCCTGTTTTCTGAGCACTGGTGAAGAAAAAACCCTAAAGGGCCTGGTGTCCCATCTCCTGGTACCTGCTCTTCCTCATCCTCAAGGACAGTTGCCAGAAAGAACTTCTTTGAAATGCACAAAGGAGACAACAGAGCCCAGCAACTGCAGGGTCACCTCCTTCTGCAGGGACAGGGGGAGGTGGTTCAGTACCTCAGAGCCAGATTCTCAACTTCCTTCCTACGAGTATCAGTCTTTGGTGCACTGTAGCCAGAGCAAATGAGAGCAACAAACCCCATATTGGTCTCCAGTCCCAGTTACTATCCCCTCTGGAACCAGGAACTTGACCTAGACCTCAACAACAACTGACCACACTTGATGCAGCACCAAGGAGGACAGATACACCCAGACAGTAGCCACCCCTGCCTAGGAGACCTAGTCATCTCACAAGCTTTCAGAAGCTCTGCATTTAAGTAACCTCCTCAAGAGAAGGACTCCTCTTCTCATGCCACTCTGCAGTTGGGGGTCCTGAGCAGTTCGTTCCCTGTAAGCTCAATGCGCTCTGCCTCCCCACCCCTTTTGCATGTTGCCTAGCATGTGGGTGAGGTTAGGCACCTGGACCACCCTGCAGAGCACTAAGAGGATATGCCTTGCTTTTAATGATCCGCTCATTTTGTTGAACATTTGCTTCCCTCATCTGGTATGAGCTGTCAAGCCAGCTCCAGACACCATAGCAATAGGAGCCTTAGAGACGTATCATAAATAATTAAGTCCCCATTTTGTGTGCTGTGGAGCCCAGCAGTGAATGGGTTAATACTCACTACACCCAGACCTTTGAGGGAAGACTGTCTCCTAGTTATACCAATGCTGACATCAAGGTGCCAGCCAGCATCAGCTCCCCCCTGCAGAAGCCAGAGGCACCCACCAAACAGGTATTTGTTCTCCCTGACCAGGAGACAAACTCCATGTCTCCACATATTGATCCAAAGGCTGGATAAAGGATTTTAACCACATTCAGGCAAGGGACAGAAAAGGCAATTGTGAGGCACCCCAGTTAGTGGAAATGGACTTCAGCCTCCTGGCAACTAGGGAAAGAGCTTCCCACATTTGGGAAAAAAAAAAAATCACCTGCTGGTTTAACATCAGTTCATTGCAAGAAATACAGAATCTTTGATCTCCTCATCCAGTATGGGCCCAGCACAGCTCAGTGGCAACTGAATTACTGCAGCCTGAATAGGGAGAGTCCAAGACGGCAGGCTTCCAGACACCAAAAACCATCCAGTACGTGACCCATCCAAAGATGAAATGGGTTGTAAAGAAGAAACACCCTCATGTGTATACCCCGGGGTACACTGGTACTAGGCACTGCACAGGTGGGGAACTTGGCCCTGTCATTACGCCTTTGACTCGGTCAGTTGAGAAAGAGAAAACCTGATCTCCAGGGCTCCCAATGCAGCCTCTTCCAATGACTCCATGAGGATAAGAGGGGCAAGGCTTTCTTTGGGTGATAGCTTTTATTGGACCAATTGCAGCTGGTCCAATAAAAGATATCACCCAAAGAAAGCCTTGCCTCTCACATAATTCCTGGACCAGTGTGGCTACAACTTCACTCTAGCATTTCCAGGAAGATAATTCACCCTATGAAGATGCTCTCTGCAATCTAGGATGTTAAGAAGTGTCAAAAAAGGCTGGATGCTCTGGAATTACCTTAGGATGGTTTCAGGCACTGAGTAGCTTGTGATTGCTAACAACCGGAGAAGAACGTCTTCTGCAAAGCAAAGCAAAGGAGCTGTTAGTGAGGTTGGTCCTCCCCAGAAGCAGTGGGTCTCACCATATCAGGCAAAAGTCCCAAAAGGTAGGCAATGCACTGAGCTGTCACTAGGGACGAAACTCTTGATGGAGATGGGCTTCCTGAGAGCTGGCTGGAAAATGCAAAACAGCCATGTGCTGATTGGTCAGGTACAAGGTGAAACTAAATAGCCATGTGCCCAGGTTCAACACTAGGTAAGTAGGACAAAAGCCAATCCTGCCTACATCCATCTGTGTCCTAGTTATCCACCCTCTCTGCTTTGGTACCCAAGTGCCCCAGTGCTAAGCATGCTTTCTGGGAAGAGGGCTTGATAACCCCTCACCAAGGCAGAATAGCTTCCTAAGGAGCTCATATCTGCACCAGCAAACCTCAGACCCATTCCAGCACATCATGTCACCCTTGTCCAAGCACCAGACAGGGAACCAGCACCTGCATATCACCTCACCAAGCTTAGGGTTTCCACTTGTCACTCAGTAACTGCAGCGTGTCTCACCACACACTTGCCATGTCTGACTCAAAGCCTCACCCAGAGCCACCACCACCACAGGCCCTTCCTTCCCCCTGTTCCCAGTTCCCAGGCTCTGGTGGGAGGGGTCCTCAGGGCAGGGCTGAGAACTTCAGTAGGAGCCTCTACCCATCCTCTTTGCCTGCCCAAAAGACAGCAAATTAACAGCCTAATGTCAGGAGGAAGAGGAGGATGAGAAAGGAAAAGACCCCCTGCTGCTGCCCCAGAGTGGAACTGCACCTGGTTCAGGATCTGGGTCTGGGTAGGAAGTACTGAAACATGAGCAGCAAGTAGGACAAGAGAAGTGAAAATGAGAGGCTGAAGAAGGAACATGGAGCTTAATAATAGGCCACCTCTAATGAACCTCTAATGATTTCAATTTATTTTTAGATTACTGGGATTTGTTCCCCTTTGTAAAAACCACAATTTGCTGAGTTTTCATCCTGTAGGGGGAACACTGGCCCAGCAGATTCAGCAAATGCAGGGTTTGATAACATCAGCCCTTTGAAATGCAGAGAACAGATGGCTTTTTGCACAAATGCCCCTTTCTTCCCCCACCTAACCTTAAAAGGCCAAGAGCAAAGGACATAATCAGTAGAACAAACTGTCCAGGGAAGTCATGGATCTTTCACCTGGCAAAATCTTCAGCCTGGGTTATACAGGAGGGCAAGCCAGGTGACCCAACTGTCCCTTTCGTAGCTACCTTTTCTGAATCACTGCAATTGTTGCCCTCCCCATGTTCATGCTGAAATTATCCAAAACCATGAGCCCAGTGCCAAAAAAAAATAGAGAAAGCACATTCACTTACCACTTCCTTTAGTACCATATGGCAGCTCATATGGGGATATGGTCTTCACCCAAAAGTAATCCTTTAGCTGTAAGAACAGTGGATGGTCCCGTGTGTAACTACAGTAAACATAAAGCCAATTAGTTAGAGGGACTCGCAAACCAGATACTAAAACCCTGACCCTTCAGCTGACTCCTCAGCCCTCCTGCCCCATCTCTCAGTCCCAAAGCCTTCAGCAGTGATCCTCCCCAGGCTCTACTGATCCCTTCGGAGCAGAGACCAGACCTCTAACACACTAGTTTATTACTCACTTTCCTATGAGCAATGCAGTTTTCTTTTCCACCTCTCCTTGGGGACACATTGACTTCTCTTCTTGCACAGGGAAATAAAAGCTGTAAGGCAAACAGCAAAGATGGCAACTGCCCTAGCCTGGGCTGTCCT